CGAGCGCGTAGCCCGAAAGCAACCCATGCATATTTACACGGCTTAAACGTTTGTCTTGCTTTATTTAAATTATAATAGTTGTTGTTGTTGAGGAAGGGTGCCGGGAAAACTGTGACAGGGTGTCGCGACAAAAGCATCGAAAATGGGCTTTCACGACGCGGGTCCTGCATTGCGCGCGGCGATCTGACAACCCAGCCTCCCTACAAAGGCGTCAGAGCCTCCGTGACGCATTCTACCCCACGGAGATGTGGGGCTTTGTGATTCTTTACGATCCTTCACTATAAGTGGTCAAGGCAGCTCCCGAGGGTGTCACGACATGCAGCTGTTGCACGGCTCTCATTACGCGAGGCTCACCGCGCTGTGTGCAGTACATACACCTACCAAACAATCGAGGCGTTTTGGCGGATAAACCAGCTCCCCTCAGCGAAGCCTCGTGGTTGCAATTCGATAGCCATAGTTAACAAATGAAGGTTCCATTTCTGGTACAGCCTGGAACGCCTCGTAAATGGGACAATTGCTCGAGGGCTTTTTTCGGGGCGGATTAACCCTCATGCGTGTCTTACGCCTTAGCCTGCGTGTGGCGCCATTTCGCCGAGGCGGGTCCATTTTGGGAAAAGTTTCTCCAGCAACTACAGGCATCTCTTTTTGTATTGGTCAATTTTCTCTATTTACAAGTGCCGACATACTTGGAGACACGCCAGCAGCACGCCGCCTCTTCAATGTTCCGTCGTCTCGACCAATGGGACCATGTTCCGCTATAAAATTATCCGAGCCTCACCTGGAAAAATTTACGGTTTTTCCTGACTGTTCGAGCCACTGTCTGACTGCTCCTTCAAACTCTCTTCGCTCATCTCCTCTGCATCATTGGCGGCCGGCTTCTCCTCTTTTTTCTGCTCCAACTCCACGTCAGGCAAACGGTGGTTTGTCTGGAAACAGGTGAAAATCATTGCAATGGCAGAAAATCCGAGCGCCATGTAGAAAGTGTCCCGAATAGCATTCATCACTTCTCCCTTCACATACGCTCTAGCGGCAGGAGTGAGCTGGTCTAGAAGCTTTGTGGACGAAATAAGCGAATCGAGATTCACCCCATCGAGCTCTTTGGCAAGTTCGGCGCCTTGTTTGGGCAAGGTCTCCTTCATGTGGTTCGTCAAGGCAGCACTGTAAACGGCATCCGCCAAAGCTCCCGCTAAAGCACCTCCGAACGTTCTGCAGACATTCACCAACGTCGTGGCCATAATGGTCGATCCAGGCGCTTTTGGTGCTGCAACCTGTGCGCCCAAAATTCCCGATTGCATCTGGAAACCGGTACCGATGCCTAGAGGGATGAGATAGCCGATTTTGTGGGAATTGGGGGAATCCACTTCTAGAAGGGTGAGAAGACCACAGCCAATCATACCCATAGCGGCACCCAAAAGCGCAAAAGGCTTGATGAGTCGGGTTTTCTTGATCAAGATACCCAGCGAAATGGACGTGATAACGGTTGCAATAATCATGGGCAAAAGACGAACACCCGATTGCCACGCACTGGCGCTGTGGATCACCTGGAAATAAATAGAAACGTAAAGCACGGCGGCCATAAAGTAGGCAAAAGTGCCAAACATGGAGAAAGCTGCGGCACTGACCTGTGGAACTTTGACAACGTCCCAGGGAAGAAGCGGGTGTTTTGTGAACTTGTAATTCCACACACAGAAGGCAATAAACGTAAGGCCGCCCACGACAAAACAGGCAATGACTCCACCCAGGTTCCATTCAAAGTCGTTTCCAGAAGCCAAGGTAAGTGCCATAAGCAAAACAACAAAAGACCCTGTCATGAGCACCACGCCCACGTAGTCAATCATCATGATCTTTTCTTTCCAATTGCCCTTGGTTTTGGGTGGGTTGAAGCAGAACACGAAAAGCACTCCGGCTACTCCTCCCACAGGAAGATTGATGTAGAAACACCATCTCCACGAAACATGCGACGTAAAAGCACCTCCAATAAGCGGACCGAGCACAGAGGCAACGGCAAACGTGCACCCCAAAAGCGCCATACCCAAAGGTCTCTTTTGAATGGGCAAAATCTCGGTGATAATGATAAACGTCATGGTCTGGATACCTCCACCACCCACACCGCCCAAAACACGGCCGCCAATAAGCACATCCATGTTATTGGCCAATGCACACATCAAGGAACCAGCTTCAAAAAGCACCACTGCCACGATCATGGTCAGTTTTCTGCCAAAGATGAGTGAAAGCTTACCCCATACTGCAACCAAAGCAGCCATTGATATGAGGAAGCCCGACGTGAGCCAGCCGATTCTGTCAAAGGCATTGAACTTGTTTCCCACCTCTGTCAAAAGCGTCGCCACAATGGTCTGGTCCAAAGCGAAAAGGAAAAGACAGAAGAAGATGGAGAAGATACAGAGCATCAATTTTGCACCCAGAAGGTACTGCTCTTCTCTGGTGGTTCCGTCGCCGGCATCGGACTCTATAAACTTCTTGCGATTTTCCTCAGCCACAGGCGAGGTTTCTGTATTCTCTGATATTTCTGGCATTTTGGTTAGTGAAGAAATCGTCGGGAATCGGTTCTTTTATATCGTGGAATCTGCAGAAGCGATGCAGCCTCATCGTGCATTCGTAAAGCGGCTGCAAACGGAGTGGACTGAGTGCTGGTGGTTACGCCAAGAAAGTGCAGGAAGCTGGGCCTCTACTAAATAGGCTCCCCTCATTATAATGATGCCATCAAATTGTTCATCCGATGGCCCCTTCAGGAGATCAGGGCCAAATCAGGTTTCTTGGTGGTGGTTACGACCTGCATATAGTGCCGCCCGAAGCTGTCAAGGGCAAAATGGCCCTTCTCGCGAGCAGAATCGTGCATTAACGCCGTTTCTCCGTGTCATGGGCCCGCACCGCCGTCTCCGTCCCACACTAGTCCGGCTGCAAAAGAATGAATATTTTCTTATCGAAAAAGATGCATGATCTTGACCTTGACATATGTGCCCCTTGCATTGGAAATTTAGTTAAACGGCTTGGAAAAAAACTGAATAAGTCAGCACTACGGAAAAAAGTTCGGGAATGGCCGACGCACGCCGAACATTGATGGCAAAATACGACCCACCAGTCATTGATGAAGAGTATTTGGAACGTGGCAATTCAAGAAAACACAAAATAAGATTGTAAGTGGATCTGCTACCGCCGAAAGCCGTATAGCCGTATGTTGCTTCAGGATTTTTTGCCACCACGATAAGCAGATATGTACGGCGCGTCACAGAAATGTGTCTCGGGGTCAAAAGCGAATCGACTTAGGAATTGGCTTTATTCTCGGGGACACTCTGGGGGTGATTTTGATTTAGAATGAAGAGGTTTGCTTTGAAGATGAAGTGTAGATGTTTATGGTAATTGGAGAAGGGTTCCCTTTATGTATTTTTATGGTCCAGCGACTGCAAAACTGGATACTGGTAAGAGTCCACACAATCAGTGGCTTTGTCTCAAATCGTGTTGATGACAAATTGGCTTGACATTTACCGTTATCAAGCAAAGCAAGAAAGCAAACATTAGGGATTAGGCGGTGGCGTTTCGTTGCGTTTTTCACTTTGATCCTTGTCTTCAGCTGTTGCTTCCCAAACTCGAGAACCAAGCAATTTCCGGCAAGAAGTCCGTATGTGGTTGATACTTAGCTATAAGTTAAAAAAAGGCTAGTCTGAAGGTCCGATATTTTCCCGTTCTTGAGTGGCCGGATCACTGATTGAAATTTCCGTATCATCTCTCATCCAGATTTAGGGTTGAGCTGATAAAGTCGTAGCACCGCCCTAGCTGATTCTACGTATTTCCTCAATGAAGAAATTGAAAGAGGGTACATTCGAATTCTGCACTGAATTTGATTGAAACCACTACTTACAAACCATCAGGTCAAGTAAATCGACGTTTCACACCATACTCTTTCCAGACCTTCAACCAGTCTGAAACAAAAGCAGTCACCAAATTCCCCCTTGACACCTCCATCTCCACTTCCACCTCCATCGATACACCACCCGTTTCATCGTCATTCACACTCCTCACAATACACCCTCATACACCCTCAATCCACCAACATCACCAAACAACATTTCCCAGTAATACCACCTCCACCACCCCGCTGACGTCACGCTGAACTAGACCCCATTCCTTCCTCTCACCGTTAGTCACAGATCTCCATAATCACCAGCCCTGGATAAAAATAGCTGGCGATCGTCGCTGTGTCAATCACACCTGGTAGTCTAGACTACCCCTACCTCTACATTATCAACATCGCCAACATCGCCAACATCGATTTCTTGGAAACTCCGCCATAATCCCTTATTCGCATACCCAACTCCGCCAACCGTTTCTCGGTTAGATCGCCATTGGCCCGTTTGGGACGCAATTAGCTCTACAAGGAAAAACGCTCCCAAGGGACCGTCAAAGCCTTGCTTCGCGTATGTTCCTTGTCTGGGGCTGTTCCTCCTTTGGGGCTGTGGACGAAATCTGAAAAATCTAGACAACCTCCATTTTTCACTTTTCCCAAAATCCAGCCATATACTGCTCGGGCCGTTTCGAGGTGGGCTGTATCAGCCGGACTTGTCCTTTGCAACTGGGCCTAAGCCGGGTTTGACCGGGCAATGGAAGCCGTAGCGCAGCTTACCGAACCTTTCTCTGCACTATGCCGTCACTGTCGAAATCACACGCAGGGGAAGCTTCTGTGTTTCTGGAAATCATCAACACATGAGGGACCTCCCTCACACCTTCGATTTCCCAGTTCCACCCAAATCCCCAGCAAATAAATAATCAAATAAATTAACAGATTCCTCTAGCAAACAACAACTTTCCATCCACCAAAATCCCACCCTGGGATCTCCGTGGCAGACCGCTATTGGGGCTTTTCCCATCTTGGTATGTGACGACCAAGCCCTCCAGAGCACTATATAAACCCACCCACCTCCCTCCGTTTCTCTCATAATCAACCCACATCTTCCCATCCTTCAACACATCTTCCATCCTTCAACATGCTTTCCTTCTTCACCTTGCTCTCCGTCTCCTTGTCGCTCACCAACGCCTTGACCCTTCCAAACGGTCCTACCACCTTGGCTACCTCCAGAGTCGGCGCCAAGTCCAACGCCATGGGCGGTTCTGCTCCTCAGGGCACCTTGACCCTGGCTCCAGCTCCTCCTCCAAGCATTCCAAGCAACGGAACCAACCCTACCGGAAACGGTCCTATCACAGGCACTCACACTGGAAAGACTCTTCCAACCGTCACAAACTCCCAGTGGCCAAACCCCATGGACACTAAGACTCCATCCACAGTGACGAACGCTCCAGCTAAAGGAACCCAGGCTCCAGGAAATGCTCCATCTCAGGCTCAACAGCCAGGTGCTCCTTCTGAGGCTCCTCAACAACCAGGCAACTCTCCATCCCAGGCTCCAGAACAGCCAGGTTCTTCTCCATCTGGCCTCGGTGACGATGGCTCCGATGGCTCCGGCTCCTCTCCATCTGACTTTGGTGGTAATGGTTCGGCTCCTTCTGAGGCTCCAGACACCCCAGACTCGGGATCTTCTGGATTGCCAGATGACGGTGGATTTTCTGGAAACGGCGGCCAGGGCGACCAAGGCGACCAGGACCAGGGAAACCAGGACCAAGGAAACCAGGGCCAGGAACCAGGCCAGGGTGACCAAGGAAACCAGGATCAAGGAAACCAGGGCCAGGAACCAGGCCAGGGTGACCAGGGCAACCAGGGTCAGGGTGGTAACATTGTGAAGACGGCCACCAGCACCCAGGCTTTCGCTACCGCATAGGCATAAGTACGAATAAAGATTGATTTCGGCAGAAGTGTAGAAGTAGGAGTGCAATGACTCAAGTAGTGGTCTTGCGATTCATACAATATTTATATGATCTTGGTACGAGTAGTCAATGAGGCATGGAATTTATAGTTGTATCCGAAGTCCACGAAATTTGAAAAGTTACTCTTGGTTACAATTCGGGAGAATCGACTTCGTAGGTTTGAAAAATCGACAAATAGTAGGATTAAGGTGGCTCTAAGGTATCGTTTGTCTTACGGCTAATGCAAGGTTTACATGATTATGAGGTCGAGCGAGTCAGTGGAGCATGGGTACCATAGTTGTATTTAAAATCTCCTACGAATTTTGAAAAGCAATTCATGGTGGAGAATCGACTTGGTAGGCCCGAAAAATCGACAATGACGTCATCGAGATGCCCTTAAGTACAGCCTCGAAAATACAAGATCACCTTCAATTACTTCGGTTACTGTGTTTCTGGATGCATTAGCTATTTAAACCTCAACATACCACTCGTTGCTGGCGCCCCGGTTCATCAAGATATCCTCGTAATAGTCCCACGGGTCCTTGCGATGTAATGGAAGCGGCTCGATCGACTGAGGATCGTAGTTCACGTACTCGTCAACGTTGATGTTGAGCTCTTGGTGACGCTGCACCGATGGCGTGACAATGTTGTACTCGTCAACAAGCCACAGCTTGCCACACGCCTTGTACCAGGACTCACGAGCCTCCGAAGGGTCAAAGTCCTTTTCAGAAGGCTTGCACTCCTTGCTGGGAACCCACATGCCGAGATCCTTTCTGAACTCGTGGTCTCTGAAAACGAGCTTGGTGGTGTACGAGCTCTTGCCGTACTTCTTGCCCAAAAGCGACAGAACGTTCTTGGGAATGTAGATCGGCAGGCCTTCAAAGTAGGTGTGTCTGAGCGGAAGAAGCTCGTCAATGCGGTGCCAGTTCCAGTGCTTGCAATGGACAGCCATGGTCTTGAGCTTGGCCAAGTCGTCGTCCAACTCGTACACCGCCAGCGGAGGCACGTCGTTGGTGTGAGACAAGGCGCTGATGTCTATGTATAAGCCCAGGTTGATGTCGATGAAACGGGCGTCGATGAAGTTTTTGCTGTTGCCCTGCTTCACGTAGGTGGGGGAAACCTCGAATAAATATGCAGCGTTACCCAGTTTGGGGTTTTCGAGAATGAGTGTGTTGTTGTACTTTCTGGCCAAACGGTCGAGCTGCACAATCGGGAGCTGGACGTCAATGTCAGTGTCCCAAGGCATGTTCACGCCATTGTAGGCCCAGCCGAGAAGAGAGCCGTAGTTGACCCACAGCGCCACTTTTTCGGTCTCGGCGAATTCGAACCAGGCTCGGATGATATGTTGCAAGATGCTCTGGCGCTCACGGTTGGCAATGTAGCGTTTGAAAAATGGGTAGTAGATGTGGTGGGAGTTTCGGGCAGCAAGGTCACTGAAGATCCAGGGGTATTTGAAGAAGCACTGCTGGGTGTCTGCGGCGGTGTTGGCGTACTCCAAGAATTCCAAGTACTCCAAGTCCAGCTTCAGAATGCGGTTCTCGTTGAGACGCTCTTTCAAGGCAAAAATCTCCACCTCTGGCTCAAACACAAAGTCCTTGGCACTGACGGCCACGGTCTTTTGCATCTGCTTGTATGGGACAGCTCGGAGGTGCAGAGTCAGCTCATCCAAAGGAAGGTCCAACTGCTCGGACTCCTTCATAGCCAGAACTAGCAGCAGCTTGGCCACGTTCTTCGGGAGGGTATCGCCAACACGCTTCTTTTCAGCCACAGCAACCTCTATGTAGCCCTGGTCGGTTGTAGCTAGCACGCGTTTGGGCACATCCTTGATGCAATAGAGATATGCCATGCTGCGGAGCACCTTGGTGTGGTAGGTCTCCATGAAATAGGGGTTAATGGACGCCAAGCGGTCCACGTCCCTGTTGCAAGTGCCCAGAGGCTGGCGATCCCTGAGACGCTGCAAAACAGAGTCTCCAGCCAGCATGTCGACCCAGTCGTCCCAATGGAAGTAGATTCCGTCGGCGTTTCCGAGCACATGTTCGAAATCTGGATCGTGGGACGCCGCCAGGCGCTTTTTGATGTAGTCGTAGAGCGCCAGGGCAGGGTTTCTGGGCTGAAACGAGCTTCGCTGGTGCTGTCTGAAGGCCTCATTCGTGAGATGGGCCTGGGAAATCGGCGTAAAGAGCGTGTGAAGAATCAGCACGGCTATGCAAATGAAAATGATGGCCAGGAGCGCCGCCACACGGCGGTAGCGCCTAGGAAGGGCCATGTGTGGGTTGAATATGATGGGTTTCTCGTCCATAGTGGAATGTGTGGGGGAACTCTTCTTTGAAGTTTTGTGTCACTTTGGGGATCACTATGGATAAAGCAAAAGACTAGCGGGAAAGGAGTGGTTTGGGTGGCCTAGGATGGCGTTTCTGGATCACACTATGGGTAGCAGCAGACGATGGCGTTCACGATGGAATTCGATCTAAAAGCAAATCGCCTCGGCAGCGTCACTAAGTATGTCACACAGGGATCAACGGTGGAGCCTCCTCGAGGATTGTCCCTGGAAAAGTGTGTTTTTGGATGGGTTCGATTGGAATCGATGGGATGACTTGAGCTCGTGTGAAGCTAGTCGAGTAGCGGAGCAAAAAGCAAAATCTGACTTAGATAGGAAGCCACAAGGAGCACGGACACGGATTTTGATCGAAAAAAACGAAAAAAACGCCAAATGTCGAGGAATAAATAGGGAGTTTAGGAGCGACGGCAGGCGGTTATATATTGCTGGGGCTTATGCGAGCAAGGCTGAGTAGCGCACCAGAAAGCAGGAACGCCAGAAAGCACGGCAGTTACGATGAAGTGGCTCCTGCCAAGGGAAAAGGAATTTTTGACTTTTGCAGGAACAAGGAACCTTAAAAGTCAAGATTGTCCAAATTCTTTTGTCCAAAGAAGAACTTAAAATTTATGGTCCAGAGGCCTTAAAAAGTTAGCAGTGTGCATGGTGATGTCAGGGCTGGAGAAGAGCGATAGTGATTTGCATCCGTCGGCGTGTCTCAGCACTAGCGCTGTACATAAGCAACAATATGGAGAGAAGGGAGGCGTGCAAGGCAGGTGCAACAGAGTCAGAGAAAAAAGCGTAGTCTTTGTGTTTCTGGACCGTCGAAGTCATTTTCTTGTGCCTGGCATCGCACAGGCTTGACACATCGTTAGGCGCACTGGGTGGATCGCGGAGGGCCTGAAAAAGCGGAATTCAAAAGCCTGTGAAAGACGGCGTGAAAGGGGTTTTGTGAGGTGCTGAGAAGCGGCGATTTGACGATCTGGTTTTAGCCTCTGTGGCGGAATCAAAGTCATTGTCTCGGAAGGGAAGGTGGAAGGAAGGTGCAGAGGTGAAAAATCGCAGCCGTCCGGCACCAAGCAGACCTGGAGGGAGAGTTTTGGGGAATTGGATTTTGGTGGTTTTGGTGGTTTTGGTGGTTTTCGAAATTGATGGTTTTCGAGTTTGGCTATTTTTGGTGAATTGCACAAATCTCTATGGCCTATTTTTGTGATTCCACCAGGGCAGTGTCACGTCAAGCATGATGGACTGTGCCCAAAATGAGGCACAATCAGCGACCAAGTGTGACAAAAAGCCTAATTCAGCAGATAAGCCTGGCCTGTACGCAGCACCGGTTGCAAAAAAAAAAAAGATAATCTGCCCAGTAAAAATAGCCTGGGTGACCCCTGGCCGATTCGCTTTTTTTCTGTTTATTTACGCTGCTGAGTGGCTAAATCGGTTTGCACAGCCTGGCCTCGAGCACGCTTCCGTGGGGCTTTGTTGCCGTGCGGTTATCTGGAGGAATCACCGTAGCGCGAATGGAACAGAAGAAGTAGGAAAGCGATGAGGATGGAGGAGCTGGAGGAAGAGCTGGATTAAGAAAAAAGATGAAAGATGAAAAATGGAAAGATAGGACTTTGAAAAGTTGGAAAAGCGATTTTGAAAGGATTCCAAAAATCTAATGGCCTCCCTGGGCAGTCACGGTCTCCTCTTGAAGCCTCGCTGGTATGGAGGATTGCGCTGGACATGGCTGACAAGGCCATTTTTGTGCAAAACAGCTCACGTGAACCGCCCGCCTGGGGAGGAGGTCGTTTGAGGACCGCGATTGGTGATCTTTCGGACTCCCCCGATGACGTCATCCTCAGTGGTGGTGAGCCCATGGGTCCCTTGAAGGACCAAGTCGTCTAATAATTTCAAATTGAAATCTCGTATCGTATGTCTTTTTTTTTGGCCGCGGTTGTGGCAGTCTTGGCTCGTCGATCACGTCAGTGTGGTGAGATAGGAGGCCATGCATGGACCGAGGTGGGGTGGACTAGGGATTGGACCAGGAGGAGATCAACAATCAGATTTGGCTTGCTGTGGGGGCGGCTGAAGTGCCGTTTTTTGGTTAGGGGTTTTTGAGCGGCTGAGGTATTGTTGGCTCGTAATTGGGTTTTGGGTGATTCTGGGGGACTTTGCTTTATGGGGTTCCGTAGTTCAGATGCTGTTATCGGCATGTTCTTGGCTGACGTTCGTGACGCAATTAAGCTGGTTTAGCCGCATGTTTCCCGTTGCGGCTTGAATTTCTAGAGTTGGTGGATAGAGATATGGTAGGATGTTAGGTCCTCGAGGTACATTACACAAAGAGGCTCTGGTGGTTCCTGAAAAATGTGCACTCTTAGCCGAGCCTCAGATTTTGGAGCAGGTAGTATGTTCTGGTGACAGTAGCTGGCGAGTGATACCGATGGAGCTTTGTTATAGTGGTCGAAGGTGAGCTTCTTGAGGTTTCTACCAGAGGTGAACTAAAGGATGTAATCGGACAAATTGTCTTGAAATTTCTCTTAGAATGGTAGTAGTTGAGTACTGAGATGTTGTAACCCCTAACTATGTGCGCCTAGAAGTATGAGAGATAACGATATGATTCAAGGCTTTGCGTCCAAGTCGTGGATCGTTACCTTGTTGATTATCCAACGCATGCTGAATGTACTGCAAGGATGGTTCTCTATGATTCACCTGGACTACTCCTCGTATTAAAATCTCTGTTAGCGCCTTGGAGTTCGTCAACGTTCCACAAATTTCAAGAGACGGTCAATGAGAACCAATCAAGGACAACTTGTCGACCCTCTTGACTTGAATGTGTACCCCATCAACGACGATAATAAGGATTGGGACGACAAGGCTGCCAAAAAGGCCGCTAAGTGAGATCTCACTTGGTTCTCAAGGTGTGGTTCGCATTCAGCTTTTGCATTCAACACTTGGATCACTGATAAGTGGTCTCGAATAGCAATAAATCACTCTTTTCCTACTTTCTCATCTAAAAAGCCTCCTCTACAAGAATTCCATCTCTTGAAGGCCATCCCAGCTATCGATAGCCTGATCGCTGGATCTAGCATATCTTCAACCATTAGTTCTCATAGGTCTCAACCTCGTCAGAATGTCAAGGCAAAAACGTCGATTGCTGCAAAACACTGATCACCATATAACATCCACAAAACATCAATTCCAAATCCTCCAGCTTCGTAAATGCAACTGCAGCTGGACTTTCGAAACCGCCTCGTGAAAGCAATACGCCACCTACCCGTCATCGAAGGTACTTCCTAGACCAGCAAGCAATTCTCATACCTTCGCTTCTTCTTCCCCAAACCCATCTTCCCCTATCTCCTTCAAGTTAGGCAATTCTCTACAAATCACCTGATTATCTTACCCCAGCGGACAGATCCTCCGCTGGTGCTGAGCACTGTCTATATGGGGAAGTTGGATCAGCAATTCAGCCAAACATAAAACAAAAACTTCGAAATTTCAAAATGACCAACTCAATCAAAACCGCGTAAAACGTCATCTCCGTATTTGTCAGCGTCGGCGTCTTGTAACTCCGAAAACCGCATCCTCACATCAACGGTTTCTTCGATGGGCTGCACGGCGGCTATTGCGGTGAATGAAGGCCGTTAATTGAAAACACCGTGTTTTTGGAAATCCTAAGCCATTCGAAGCAAGAACCGAGAAGAAAACTAAGAAAGAATCGAAGTTATCAACTTCACCCAAATAGCCTTCTTCTCACCTCTTTCCTTTTTCCAGCCTCAGCCTCAACGGTCTCGGAGTTGAAGCCCTGTTCGTTTGCAACAAACACAAATGGCTGCAAATTGCAGAACCCTGTTTTCTTCAATTTTCCCTGAACAAACAGCCCCTGCCTTGAAAAATCCCTTTTTTGGCCAATAGGAGATAAGTTCCATTACATCCGATCTCGCTTGCTCTCTGCCCTAATCGCACCGCAACACCCCACCATATTCCCCTAAACTTCACCACTAATCCACCTGGTCCACAGCCGTCCCTCCTCTCTTCCGCCGCATTCTTCTGCTCTTTTCTTCCGTCTTCCGTGTTAGTAAGCAGCGTTCCGGAAAGTTCGCGGAAAGTTCGCACGGTGGTTTCGTGGGGTACTATTTAGCAGCCAGGATCGCCATCTTTTCTTCCCAGCAATGTCCGAGAAAATCATCCTTCAGAACCCGCCATCCGCCGTCGTCAACTTCAATTGGGACGAGCCAAGCTCCACCTTCAAATTGGAGACCCACTCGCCCGAAAACGACCTCAAGGACGGCCATGTCTTGGTAGACATCAAGTACCTCAGTAACGATCCCACACAGAGAACCTGGATCCGTGGCGACCAGGACCCAAAGAGGGCCTACCATGCTCCTGTGCAGAAGGGCGCCATCGTGGAGTCCTTGGGTCTCGGAGAAGTGCTCGAGTCAAAGTCTTCCAAGTACTCTAAGGGAGACGTTGTGGTTGGTCTCTTTGGCTGGGCTAGACAGATTGTTGTTCACGAGGCCGTCATTGCCAACAAAGTGGACACGTCATTGGGTCTTCCTTTGCCATTGTACCTCAGCAGCTTGGGCTTGACCGGCTTGACTGCTTACTTTGGCTTGACTGAGGTGGGTAAGATCAAGGAAGGCCAGTCTGTGCTTATTTCCGCTGCCTCCGGCGCCACAGGCTCAATGGCTGTTCAGCTTGCCAAACACGTTTTCAAGGCTGCCAAGGTCTACGGTATCGCCGGTAGCGACGAAAAGTGCAAGTGGGTCGAGTCTCTTGGTGCCGACTACTGCGCCAACTACAAGGACAGCGACTGGAAGGAGAAGTTGGACAAGGAGATCGGCGACAACTACGTCGACATTTACTTCGACAATGTCGGTGGCGAGATCTTGGACTTTGCCTTGGCCCACGTGAAGGGCTGGGGTCGTGTTGTTGCTTGTGGTGCCATTTCCGGTTACAACGACACCTCCAAGGCCAGAGTCAACAACTGGTTCCAGATCATCTCCAACAGAATCACCGTCGAGGGCTTCATTGTGTTTGATTTCCAGAGCAAGATCCCACAGGCTGTCCAGGAGATTTCTGCTGCTTTGAAGGACGGCCGAATCAAGTCCACCGAGGGTGTTTCTTTGGTTGACATCACTGGCAAGTCCTTGGCCGAGGTGCCTCTTATCTGGAACAGATTGTTTACCGACGAGAAGCCTTTGGGTAAGTTGGTGACCAAGATTGCCTAAGCGGGGCGTAGCTTATGAACAAGATTATGAATACATTTATGGTTGAGCGATTGTAGTTGAGTTAGAGTGAGAGGGGGTGGTAGGGGGTAGTGGTAGTTTAAGCTTAGCTGATGAATTTGTATGACTGGGACAGGATCTAGAAGCTATAATTTTTGGTTGCAAAATCCATGAGTCCATTCCTAAAACAGTATTGGCAGTGTCCATGGCATCACAATCTGGCCTCGTAAATATCACAACTCCATAGGAAAAAGCAAGAACTTTTTGGGGGTCAGGCAATTGTAAGAGGAAGATACCAAAGTCGAATGGAGAATTCTGGGGTGTCAATTGTTGAACGCGAGAATTTAGAGGAATCCCGGTTAAGTAGTCATAGACTCTATGGATTATCAAAAAAGACACAACTGCTACTTCCAAAACACACTAGGCAGCAATTGCAATCTTTCGACTTATTTAGCGACATTATGACTATACCATCATAAACGCTCCTCATTCGTTTAAATAATTCGTTTGTTCCAATCGCAGTGCATACAACCGACTCCCTTTATATGCGGACCGAGATCGCTAAGCCTCCCCCGGATTCCCACACGCATGGTTAGATTAACATCACTTTCAATAATCTTTGCAACAATTTTGCAAGGCATCAATGCAGCAGGCCTTATTGCAGCTTGTCATAATTTATTCACCTACGACGACGTAATCGCTCAAAATCGCTCTCTCATTGACTGCCACTTGAATTGTGACAACGGGAGGCCAGTGTTTATGGAGAAACGGCCCTCATATGTTTACCCACAATATAAAATGACAGTTAAAACTCCCGAAACCGGAGTCCCAGACGGTGAAGTTTATCAATATGAGGCGTGTATGGCTGGTTGTATGGATTTACCAGGTAGAGGAAAGGACAAAATTGCACTGTTATACGTACAGTCTGATAAGTTGTATACGTTTGGATCCCGGTACGAGAATGCTAAAGAAGTGTTGGAGGCGCTCGGTTCAGATATCACGTCCGATATAGCGGAGTCTGATTGGACCGATGTTGATCTGTCCAATGGCTATTACCCCGGATGGGATGATGATGAAGTTATAAATAACGACAATGCCACCACAGTGCAAACCAACTCCCACACTGTCTACCCTACTTTGGGCCCACAATATTACCTAGGATATATCGATGGTTGTCTTCGATGAGCGATTGGCTCCTTTGACATAATACACCAGACCTTTTTATGCCCGGTTACAACGAAGAAGTAACCACCCTAATTCTGTTTAGCGCCTAATGGCTGTCAAAATGGCAAAATAACACTGTTGCAAGATTCCTCAGTCAAGTCGATATGTCAAGGCTCAAAGGATGTGGCAGAATCATCGCCATTATCAACAAGCTGGCATTTTATACACAGAAAATCACACCTTTTGTGCAATGACTAAAATTATTTTAAAACGAATGGTAGTAACATTCGAAGAAAATCCCCACATAGGTCGATAGATATGGTGTATGGGTTTTATATGCGGATCGAAATGGTTATCGAAACCTTCCCCGGATTAACACACAAATGCTTCTGGGCTAACATATGTCTAGGTTCACATTATTCTCGGTAGTCTGTGCAGCAACTTTACAATGCATAGATGCAGCAGGTCTACTAGCAGTAAGTCATAACCTATTTACCTACGATGAAAACATAGCTCACAATAGCTCTATCGTTAACTGCCATTCAGATTGTGACTCCGGCAGGCCGGTGTTTTTTTCAAGAGAGTCAAATGGTCTTCCGGAATATATAGTAACGGTTAAGGCTGATCTGGATGGAATGTGGGATATCGAAGATGATCAGTATGCGGATTGTATGATTGATTGCATGGGCTTATCAGCTGAATTACCACCAATAGACATTCTGTCTGATAAGTTCTATACGTTTGGATTTGGGTACGAGAATGCCAAAGAAGTGTTGGAGGCGCTCGGTTCAGATATCACGTCCGATATAGCGGAGTCTGATTGGACCGATGTTGATCTGTCCAATGGTTATTACTCCGGGTGGGATGATGATGATGAAGTTATTGGGGTGAATAACGAAACCGACTACACCGTGCAAACCAATCACATGCTGTCTACAGCAATTTAGCTGCACAAAAGTATTTAGGGTAGTCTCGGCTGTCCTCGGTGAAGCGATTGACTCATTATACGTTCAATCTCCGTATGCCGAGTTACATCAGGGAAGTCATACGACCTAAGTTCTGTTTAGCGCCTTATGGTTGTCAAAATAGCAAATTTAGCCAAACAGAAAGACGCTGAAAGTGCGCTTAAACTCACCACATCGTGTGTAAGTTCCCCGTTCTCTTACGTCAAAGGTTCACTAACCAACTGAATTTGCCATTTCTGCACAGCACCTTCCAGCTTAATGAAATCGACCCTGCCGAAATCCAAAGAACATCCACCTATCGTAATAAACCAGATTCCCCAAAACCCAATACCACCCCTAACCACATCCCCCTACAGCTTACTACTCTACAGCGGCCAACGATAAAAAGCAAAATCAATTAGTAGAAAAGCTATCCGATCGAGCTAGCTAAAAAAATCAAAGAAGCAACAAAGCAACGGCCAAGCTTCCAGCGCCAACGCCAGCAGCAGCAGCTCCACCCTCAAAGATGGACGAAACGTGAGGAGCAGTTTCGTTGGCAGAGGTCTCGGGACCCTTGGAAGCGATGGATGGCATCTCCGAGGAAGTAGCCTTGGCCGAGGTGGCAACCTTGGAAGAAGGCTGGACAGTAGGCTTGGCGGCTGGCTCCTCAGGCTCCTCAGGCTGCTGTTCTCCATCGTCTGGAATCTCCTCAACGTCAGTAGGAGCAGCACCGTTTCCGATCCAAGTGAAGAAGGTCTTGGTGTGGGTGTGGTGGGGCCTGGCGATGGTCATGTGAGTCGTGGTGAGGTGCTCTGCCTTCTCTCCGTAGAGAGTCTTGGTGTAGGTGTGGTGAGGGTAGGAGAAGATGAAGGTCTTGGACTTGTCAGGACGAGCAGCAGCAGCGATGCCGGCCAAGGTGATAAGTGGGAAAATCTGCATGTTTTGATGTTTTTGGATTGGTGAAGAAAAAAAAAAAGTGGGATCCTGGCCGGGCTTTATATGGTGTTTCGTGAGCTGACTCTGAGACAGAACCGGCGAATTTCGCCCGAGCCCGTCGAGCCATGGAGCCGTTGGCCGATGTTCGATACAGGCTTTTCAAACGATCAAGAGGTGTTTTCTGCCTGTTTCGGGTGGGACCTTCCCAATATGGCAGGGACTCACACCACTGCGAATGGGTGCAAAATCGAATAAGGTTCGGCACCGTCACACGATCTGGCGGAAGATCTCAGGGGCGATCCTGGGGTGTTGCTAAATATGGGACCCTGGGGAGGGGGAATTTTTAGTAAGTGGGCTTTGAATATCACAGCAGGGTGGTGTTCAAATCGAGCTGGTAGGTCAACATCACGAGATGTAAGGCGAGGCAGTTCCGCTCGTGGATGTCTCAAAATGCTTCTTCCTGGCCCCTGCATTATCTGATTCGTGGGGCTACTTTGCCCGGGGTGGTGCATTGATGGAATGGGGCTATAGTACGATAACGGATATATCAGGTGTGAGATGATGGTCGGATAATGCCGGAAGAGAGGAAGTGTTTCCAGAAGGAGGCTTTAGATTCCAGAGACGTACGAAAAGCCAGTTTGAGCAATTAAAGGCATGCTTTTCGGTTTCGGGTGTGTTTTTGTGTGTGTGCTATTTCTGGACCGTCCTCTCGTGTGACCTCACCAAAGCTTATTTCGGAGTCCGCCTCTCCTATATTCCGAGAATCGTCCTGCTTCGGAGACCTTTTCCTCTAGACCGTAGATCGGCTGAGGCTCCAGACCGCCGTGGTGCCATTGACGTTACAGGGAGGAGGCCAGAATATTATAAGGCGATGGTCTGGCGGGATGGTGAAGTCGAAAGGAGAACATCAAAAGGGGAATTATTGAATGGTTGAGTTGGAAGAGGAGTTTTACTGGACATAAGACGACTTAGAAGGCACGACTTAGGAGGCACGGCGACTTAGGAGGTACAAACTGTGAATCAGTTGGCAATGAAGCACCAGGGTATGGGTCAGTCACTGTGGTGGTATTGAACCGGTAGGCCGATAGCCTACTACTCTATGTCCATTATTTCGACATCACGAAAATTCATGAAAAACGGTAAACGCTTTTCGACAAGCCAACCGCCCAAATCTCCACAAAACGGCACCCAGCCAAGCCGCCCTCGAGTCGAGCTGAAAAACAGTCGGCACGGCTTGGAAACCTTAAAATCGAATTAAGGTTCTGGCGAGGTAGCAAAAATTTCGACTCCTCACCACCCTCACCACCATCACCACCCTCACTTCTTTTCCACCTCCAACCGTCATCATCTTATCACCAACCCACCAGTCCACCACCTACAAAACCCAAACTGACGAAAAATCTGCCCATCCTCCGGTCTTGGCCCTGCACCGCTACCAAACATTCCCAATTCTTTTTCCAGTGCTAATTTCCAGCACCCACGCCCCAGCACCACCAAGCCAAGCAAAAGCGATTAATTACCCAGCTCGATCGCCTTTAGCCCCTGCTACAGACCATTTTCGGATCACACACCCCAATACGTTGAAACACAGATATCTCCTATATCGCGGGAGCCTTTTTTTTCAACGTGGGCTTGGCGGTGCAGCCGTTCTTCCCTGCGTCGTAGCGAGGCAGTCAGGGCATCATTCCGCAGCCGAGGAGGCAGAGAGGTGGAGGTGGTAGAGGAAAAGCAGAGACGATTGGGAAAAAAAGGCAGCGGATTCGCTGTATTTATAGTGGATGGGCGGATGGAAAGGCGGGGAAGCCGGGGAAGCCCACCTCTTAAGTAACTGTGTGCTTGCTTGGTTCAGTGGGTGTCTCAGTGGGTGGTAGGTGGTTGCAAACCAGAGCCTGCGTCATTTGTGGGGACGTCCTTCAACGTCATCTTTCAACGTCACCTTCCAACGGTCACTTGACTGGTCTATAAAAAGTTGACTTTTAACTTTTACGTTCTTGTTTCCATCACTGCCATTGTCAGAGCAGCTCGCCAGATCCTGAATCCAAAGCTGGATTCCTCGTGTTTCTGCGGGTCTCCTGCCTCGAGAAATCTCATTTATTATTGGACACTCCCACCCACATGGGCCACACGCGGCTGCGCTCAAAATCATCAACACCAACTACTCTTTTTTTTCCAAAAACCGGCAAAGCGTTGAAAATCGCCGGATCTCTCAAATTGCCCAAATTGGGCCCATCGCCTCCCCACGTTGATAAGCAAAAAGCCCCATTCTTATCAGAATGACCCCGCGTGGTGGTACCGTATTGAGCCCTTCGCCAAGCTTTTCTCAAACCAGTCCGCACGTCAGCGATAGCTACTGCAGCCTCTCGAAGGGTCTACGGCTTTCTTTGAAATTGGGATCTGCCAAGACCCCTCCGTATATAAACCTGTAGTTCCCCGTTGTTTTTGTTTTTTTCGATCAACCACATCCAGATGTCATTCAGAGACTTGCCCCATTCTTTCAAAGACGTGTTTTGCGGCTGGTACGGCAAGGTGCCGGGCGAATTGGCCTTGACCAAAGAGCAAAAAGAGAGAAACACCGCTGCCATCGAGGATGGAATGGAGGAGCCCCCCACGAAGGTGGCCTTCAACTCCTTGTGGCCTGCCTTCACCGCTGGAGCCGGTCTTTTCTCTGACGGTTATGTCGCCAACTCGGTGGCTACAGTGAATATCTGCTTGAAGCGAATCTACGGCGACAAGTACACAGAGTCCACCGCCATCTCCAACGTCACCTCCATTGCGTTCGTGGGTATCGTGGTGGGCCAGTTGTCGTTTGGTTACATTTCCGACCATATCGCCAGAAAGGGCGGCATGATGGCTGCCAACATCATTCTTGTGTTTTTCACTCTTTGCTGCGCTGCCGCCTCCTGGGGTGTCACGCCAGAGGGCATGTTTGCCGCCTTGACCGTGTTCCGTTTCTTCTTGGGTATCGGTATCGGTGCCGAGTACCCCACCGCCTCGGTGATTGCCTCTGAATTCGCCAACCAGTTGCCTGTGGGCCACAGAAACCGTTATTTCATCTGGTTCACCAACTCGTGCATCTGCCTGGGTTACGTGGCTGCCGCTTTCGTGCCCATGGTCTTGTTGTGGATCACCTCCACCTCCGACAGAGATTTGCACATTGTGTGGAGATTGACCTTGGGTATCGGTGCTCTTTTCCCCACGGTGCTCTTCTTCATGAGAAGGAAAATGAAGCCCTCCGAGTCCTACCAGAAAACCAACTTGAAGGGCGTCAAGAAGTTCCCTTGGTTGCTCGTCATCAAGTTCTACTGGTTCAGATTGGCCATTGTGTCTATCGTCTGGTTCATCTACAACTTCTCCGTCTTTTCCTTTGGTCTCTACTCGTCGTACATCTTGGACATGCTTATCCCTGGCAGCAACTTGTACTCTACCTTCGGCTGGAACGTGCTTTTCAACGTCTTTTATCTTCCTGGCACTTTTGTCGGTGCTTTCTTCACAGACTACTTTGGCCCCAGACTCACCATGGCCTTTGGTCTTTTTGTTCAGGCCATCATCGGCTACTCCATGACCGGTTCTTTTGATTCCTTGAAGACAAAGATTGCTGGCTTTGTGGTGGTGTTCGGTATTTTCACCTCTTTTGGTGAGATTGGTCCTGGTAACAACGTCGGCTGCTTGGCCTCCAAGACTTCTGCCACCGCCATCAGAGGCCAGTACTACGGTATCGCTGCAGCATGGGGTAAAGTCGGTGGTTTCGTCGGCACTTATGTTTTCCCTGTTATTATGAAAAACCACGGTGGTGAGGACTCTGACGAGGGTATCAAGACTGCGTTCTACGTCTCCTCCTCCTTGTGTCTCTTCTCTGCCATCCTCACCTTGTTCTTCTGTCCTTCCGTGGGCCAAGAAGCCATTAACGAGGAGGACAAGAACTTCATTGACTACTTGAGAGCCAACAACTTCGATCTCTCTAGATTGGGCGATGGCTCGCTTGGTGAGGACCCTGAACTGTCTGTTGGCTCTTCTGATGAAAAGACCGGTGCTTACCGTTTTGATGAAACCTCTGTTACGTCACCATCCAACACAGCAACCAAGACTGTCTCGGACGATGTCTCCAATGACGCTTCCAAGGAAGCCCTCAAAGAGAGCAAGTGATTTGCGCAATAGGTAATACCTTCAATTCTTCGGACCGTCAGAATCCACTGTCGGTCATTTATTATACGCTCGAGGCTTACGGATGAAGGTGCTTTCTATAGATTTGAATATAGCATGAGGAAACTAATTCTAGAATTAAATGTGGCGGGTATCATGAATTGCAGTTACTTGAAGCTTATGGCAATAACTCTCAATTACTGTGTGCTACTGGCGAAAAAGGGTTGGTCTTTTCTTCTTGAATGCATTGTATAATTTGTCTAATCGTCGTGCTCAATTTCAGGGCATTCACCGTATAAGTGCCCTGTCAAGTGACAATATGAGCAGTACATGTAGCAGAACCTGATGCAACAACTCATGTCATAGGTATCGTAAACAACTCGATAGGGTTTGGTTCTTTCTATGGAAGAAACAACAGCGCCCAATTTTCTCTTGCTTGGACTCTTCAGAAGAGCATACTTGAGGTTTCGCCTGATTCTGTCAACTGTGGCTCTCTTCGGTGGAACCATGTCCAGGCCGAGGCGTACAAGTACGTCAGCTTGCTCCCAAGTATCTTGAATCTTTTCATGATTACGCCACAGTACGATTTTGTCTTGTGGGTGGAGGAAGTTATTTTTGAAGTGCAGTTCTGCTCTGGATGTTGGCTTATACAAAACCTTTGCCCAAAGAAAGTTCTCCAAGGTCAATTCGCTCTTGGTGAAAGCAAACTTTGCCTTTGATTCGGGATCCGTCATTTCACCACTCATCAAGTCATAAATTGTCTCGCTAATGTCTTGGGTGCTCATCCTCCCCACCCAACCAAATCTCTTTTTCCCGTAATTTACTGTAGGTATTTGACTTTCCAACAGTTCCAATAGTTCTGGGCTTTCTTGTGAATGATACGTAAGTTCCCAATGAAGATACTTGCGATCATAAGCTCTACATTGTCGAGCAACTCGTTTTCGCGATCAATGAGCTCATCTATCTCCTCGAGATTCAAAGCCAAAGATAAACCTTCATCGTAAGTGCTTTCGTCCTTTCTTAGCATTTTACTGCGATACAGTCTCTCAAGCAACACATTCATCCTATCTGAGATTGTCTGGATATTCTCTTTGTACATTTCAGCAGAGCCCCATGCACATCGACGTATCAACAGAGTGAGTGCTGCTTCACCGGTCAAGTCGTCGCAGATGACGTCCATTGTGAAATGATCATCGCTCTCTGGTATTTCCCCAAGATTAAATATCCTCCTTGAGCGCAAAATCCGTCGTAATTGTTTCGAGGCAAATTGAGATTGTTCATCGAAGAAACATGTGCTCATTTCCGTACCAATATACATCACAGTCCCCTCCAGACTGAGCACTGGATCATTCTCGTCAATGACCGCCTCCTCTTCACTCAAACTGAAATCCGTGAAATCTATAGCCTCCCACCATCGGTCTTCAATTGTGCACTGGCTCTCGCAATATGAGTAGGCATCTAGAGAGGGCAGTTTCGTGATCGGTCGTGATAGCCTATAGGGCACGAGGGTATATTCAAATTCATCGTCGGGAATTGGCTCCCCATCCTCTGCAAGGATATTCTTAAGAGCATTGCTGATACTGAAATTGTTCTGTCTTTGGTATTCGCGTTGTTTGAAGTGGCTATACTTCATGGAGTTGGTCCATTGGAGGTGTTATCGTTATCGTTATCGCGTTGCATTTTGGGGTACGCGCAAAGGGGCACGCTAGCCGATAATGATAGTTGCCAGAATTCTGCTCAATTTGGGTTCCATTTATGGTGTGATATCGGACGTGATGGTGTTTTTTTTAAAAGAAAAAAAAAATGTTAAAGAATATTGTGTTTGGTTTTCAACTTTTGATTATTTTTGTTTCTCGCGAAGGTAGCGTTGCATTTTGGTGAGATAAGTGAGTATGGCACAAAAAATGAAAATGAGAGAGAGACGATGTCATGAAAAAAAGTGACGAGCCTTTGAAGTTTGAAATAAAAGTATGTGAATATAACAGCAATTTTAAATTAATTTTGGAATTTAGCTCTTATCTGATTATCTCACCCGAATCGGTGCTTATACTTCTTTGGAAAGTAAGCAACACCTAAAATCACACCCAAGACGAAGCCTAAAATAAAGAGATTTCTTAATAAGCTTTTAAATAAACTCCAGCCAAAGCATCACTGCATAATCGAAGACCCGGACAAATGTCTTTATACGACCGTCCAGACTTCAATACCTCGATGCCTGAGACTGGCCTTCATACCAGTAGAACAAAGAGTATATTACCACAGCACAAGCTAATTTTGGCATATCATGCATTGGTATTGCGCAAATATACAAATTATCTACCACTCGGGCTTCTCCGGGATTGTCTTCACAAGCACCTCATTCTTCTATGACCAATCATGACTCTCCAATCGTTTTGTTTCTTTTTCGATTATCCAATCTGTTTTGTGTTACGGTTTGTAGCCATTATGTTGCAAAATAAAAAAGCGGGATAGACACCAGCTCCGATTTTACTTGCCTTGTGCATGAAGCTGATCATATAGACTTTTCTAGGCGATGAGACCCAGGAATTTCCAGGCTTAAAAACTATCAAAAATCACATTTTTCTCATATTCCAGCCATTGCCTCTCAATCCCTGATGTACCAATACCTATCTATCAAAGGGAAGATTCCCCAGTCTACTTCGCTGTTTTGTGGTATCTCGTATACACGAGATGCGGCTCACTGGCGTGATATGTTGTGCATTGGCCACACGTCAAATCCGAGAGCGGCATCCGGTTTTATATTAATTCACCGAATAAGAAAAACGCTTTTCGTCAATTTTAGGTATATCCTCACAAGCCCATCAATCCCTGCTTCATGGGCGTTTGCAAAATATCTGCGCGTACTGCACACAGCGCCGCACAAAGGCACGGCTGGAGAAAGGTCCGTCTGTGGACCGGGGCTTTATCTGCAATGACGAATTTAGTTGATGTCAAACGTGCATTGATACGGTTGGAAAGAACGTAGAAAATCGAGGCGAATCCGATTTTTTCTGATTTCTTTTGGTGGGTTTCAGGGGATATAGGGGGCTTTCAATTCTCGTGTTTCAGTGAATTCTCCGTGGAGAGGCGGAACGGAGAAAAGCGGAGTGGACGGAGTGAAAAGTGTAACAGGCGGAAAAGAACCACGACAATGCTTTGACAGCCAGTAAAGGAAAAGGGATCGCCCGGTTAAATCTGCAATGCATTATGGGCAATGAAGTGATGGTCTTGGCATCGACTCTCTAGAACCTGGTTTTCAGTTATCTGATCGGATCTACAGCGTGGAAAGGGTGCAATCAAGAAGGTTGAACTGTCTAGACAAACAGAAAGATAGTCCAAAATACAAGGCAGTTCTGAAGACGATATTCCCAAAACCTGGCAACATAAAACCCCCATTTAAGCTTTCCCTGCCAGGTGAAAAATAACCAAAGGTGACAAAGATCGTGCAGCGATGCACTAACCACTGCAGCCGAGAGATGCCAATGTGTCGCCTCACATTTTGGAGTATATAAATGGCACATTCTCCGTGGTTTATTCTCCAGCCATGGAACAAAAGACTAGGTTCTCCAGAGACGAAGACAGAAGCTCCAACGAGAAGTCTGCAGACACCCAGACAGAGGAGCTCAAGCTCCAACCAGGCTTCACCGATGACTTGAAGGCTACCCAGTCAGCTGCGTCTACGGCTACTGACACCTCCACTTACAAAACCAAGTCTTTTGGTATCCGCAAGTCTGAGCTCATCATGGCCCAGATCACCTCGTGGTGGATCAGAGGACCGTTCTTCTTTGCCATCTTCATCTGCTCCTACATCAGTTTGATGGAAAACGCCATTGTCAATGTCTTTGACAGTTATGCCACCGACAGCTACAAGCAGCACTCGCTCATGTCGACCATTGGTATCATCAGAAGTGTGGTCGCTGCCTCGTCGTTGCCCTTTTACGCCAGATTGTCCGACAACTTTGGTCGTTTTGAGTTGTTCATTGTCGCCATTCTTTTCAGAATTGTCGGCAGAATCATCCAGTCCCAGGCCCACGACATCCAGAGATACGCCGCCGGTACCGTGTTCTTCTCGTTTGGTAACTCGGGTATGAGAATCTTGTGGCAGATCAACTTGGCGGATGCGTCCACCTTGAAATGGAGACTTTTGGCCATGTCCATTATTTTCATGCAAAGCATCATCACCACATGGTCCAGTGGTGAGGTTGTTGCGTTGGTTTTGGGCAACAGAAACTGGGGGTTCGGTATCGGAATGTGGGCGTTCATCACCCCTCTCGTGTGTCTTCCTTACATGTTGATTTTCTTGTACTTGATCTTGAAGGCCCGTAAACTCGATGCCTGGCACAAGATCTCCAAGGAGGAGAAAGATGCTTTTATGGCGGCCCATCCATCTGCTAGACAGTCCCAGGATGCCATCGATGCCAACAAGTCTTTTGGTGCCAAAGTGAAGGGATACCTCAAGTACGGCCTGGTCCGTCTTGTCACCAACTTGTACGAGATTTTCTGGAAAGTCGACTTTATCGGGTGTCTTTTGCTTGCTACCATTCTCGGTCTTATTTTGGTGCCCTTGACTTTGGCAGGTGGCGCTAGATCCAAATGGCAGGACGCCTCTATCATTGTGCCCATCGTGCTTGGATTCTGCAGCATTCCTCTTTTTGTCTTCTGGGAAACAAAGGTGACCAAGAGACCCATGCTTCCATTCAAGGTCATGACGGACCGTGGTGTGTGGGCTGGCTTTTTGGTTGCCATTTTCAACTCTGTGGTCATGGCCATGCCCAACAGTTACTCCTACCCTGTTTTGCTTGTTGGAATGAACGCTGCCGAGAACGTGGCCACCAGAATCGGTCAATTGAACGGATTTGTGGAGGGTATCGCCGTTCCAGTGGTTGGCTATGTCTTGTCTCGTGTGAGAAGAACCAAGCCATTTGTTCTCTTTGGAAGCAGCGTTTTGTTCATCGCCATGGGCTTGTTTGTCCACTTCAGAGGATCCAACGACGGTTTCCGTGCCAAGTACTTCCGTGACGGTGTGGCTGTGGGTATGTGTCTTCTTGGTTTCTCCAACACCTTCTTCTCCAGAGTCACAACGGTGTCGGTCCAGTCTTGTACCAACCACGAGTACATGGCCACCATCATTGCCATTTTTGCAGCCTGCTACCACATTGGTGGTGGTATTGGAAGATCCATCTCGGGTGCCATTTGGACCCAGCAGATGCACGGCATGATTCGTCGCAAGATGGAGGAGTTGAACGTCGACACCTCCTTGGCTACCTTGGCCTACCAGTCGCCTTACCAGTTTGTCAAGAAACACGAATGGGGAACCGACGCCCGTAGAGCTGTCAGTATGGCGTATGCGGAGCTCCAGAAGAGACTTTGTATCACTGGTCTCTGTCTCTGTGTTCCTTTGTTGGTGTGGGTGTTCTGCTTGAGAGACAACCGGTTGGCTGATGCCCAGAACTTGGATGACGAGGCCTTGCTTACACTGGGAGAAGGTGCTGAGAGGGCTGGTGAGGTCAAGAGATCCCAGGTTATCTTCAAGGAGGACGACGACATCATCTTGAAGTTTATGAAGAAACAGTTGAGCAGACTCAATGTCTTCTCCAAGGCCTAATTCTGCCTGGGATGTTTCTAATTGTTTAATATATGCTAATACTGGAAAGCGAGGTGTATTGTAGTAATGCTGATTGTGCAAGTCTGTCACAACTGATAACGAACAGGCGCCGCTGAATCGGGTAATATTCACGATGCTTGCTTCGATGTCGAAAAATCTGCAGGGCAGAGTCTAAAACCTGTGCTAGCTTTTGAGAAGTAACTCAACTGTGTACGTTCGTGAATGGAAGCGGATTTCCCAGTGAAGCTCAAAAGGCTTGTTCTGTTGGAATTGACATTCGTTCATCTCTTAGATAGTCTTCATGTCTAATGCTTAAACGACATTCCCTTCTCGTGCATGCTTAAGCGAGATCTGTGCTTCAACGGATGAAATGTTCAGCGCCACACAAACATATCATACCAGTGAATCCAGATCCACATTTTGCGCCACCTTTTCATATGTCAATGAAATACGAACATTCCATGCCCAGCAAAAAACCACTTTCCTTGGCTCAATTCACTTTTCCTTCTTTACCGCCAAGATGTGCCACTCCAAGGAAAACTTGGGGTTGCTCCGGTACACGGTGACAACACCATAACCCGCTAGAAGATACCGTTGGGGATGTAGCCTCAATAGCCGCCACGCATCGAGAACCGGTGTCCTCAGAAAAACATCCCAACTCGCCCAATCACAACTGCAAAAAAAATCACTCCACTGATCGAAAAGATAAGGGGCGATCCTCATCTCATGATGTAGTGTCTAGATCTAAACCTCGGGGCTTTTTTCGGTAGGAGCCTGGCGGGGCTTGTTCTTCTGGAGGTACAGGCATATGCAAGTTATGGGAGTTATCAAATCACATCAGATAATTCAACGTTCGAAGTGCAGTATGCTTGCAGCTGCCAACGCCATATACGGACACGCGTTGACGAATAAAACCGAAGTGGCACTGAGCCGCACGCCGTCGATGTCCTCCTTGAAAAAGTCATTAAAATTTGGGGGTTGTAGTACAGTTGTTCAAGGAAGAGATGATCAACAGAATATAGTGAAAGGTGTTTATCACACAAAAGACGTCTATAAGCAGTGCTCCCTTCTTTAAATCCACCTCTCCAGGCTGAAATTTTATCGAGAAGATCTGCGAAATTCGAAATCTGCGAAACACAATAACGATCGAATAATGGGAAAAAGTGGCCGGAAGTCCAACACTAAAGATCCGATTGGTGGAGTTTCAGCTGTCAGATCTTAAAACGACCGCAATTTGCTTGGCACACCTCGTTAGTATTGTTCGAGCTCTATAACTGCACGTCAATCTTGCATGACAGGCACATCAGCCTTACATAAGGCGGTCCGCTGTCGGGACCCCCACTAGAGCATAAAAAAATCCCACATTCCGCAATGTAAGCTGGTTTTTCACTGTTTTCAATGTCTGAAAAGATCGAGAGAAGCTCTTCGGAGGACATAAAGGATGCCACTGTGAATGGTGATATCGAGGAGCAGACGGAAAAGGTGGACTTGCACCCCGAAAATGACGCCGAGGTGTCTGATGCCAGCTCCAACGATATACGGATTGTCACCTCGTCCACCTCGATGGAATATGAAAAGTCCAGAGGTGTCAGGAGAATCGAAAATGTCAGAACCATGATGTTGACCGCCAAAAACGGCAAGTCCATCATGGTGATTTTCTGTACTTGTCTTCTCATTATTGCCTGGGTATACTCCTTGGATGCTTCTACCACTGCAAGCTATGCCGTTCCAGCTACCTCCAGTTTCAACAGACACTCGATGATTTCTAGTGTGAACGTGGCTAGTGCTATCATTGGTTCTGTGGTCCAGCCTTTCCAGGCTAAGTTTGCCGATATCACTTCTAGACCTCTTTGTTTTGCACTCTCTCTTGCATTTTACACTGTGGGTGTGATTATTGCAGCAGCTTCGTCTACTATCGGTGCTTACGTTGTGGGTTCCGTTTGTACGGCAGTTGGCTCGAATGGTGTTTCTTTCGTTAGAGACATTATCGTTGCTGACCTTACCGACCTTAAATGGAGAGGTCTTGTCAATGCTCTCATGACCTCCCCATACATCATCACCGTGTGGTTTTCAGGCTTGATTGTGGACGCCATCTTGAAGAGAAACTGGAGATGGGGCTACGGTATGTTTGCCATCATCATGCCTGTCATTGTTCTCCCCGTCATCTATGTGTTGTACCATTTTGAAAGAAAGGCCCAGAAGCTTGTGCCTCAGGTACAAAAACTGAAGAAATCATTCATGCAAATTGTGTGGGATTCGGCTCTCCAGATCGACGCCTTTGGCTTGGTGATAATGGGTTTCGGTTGGGCTTTGTTGTTGTTGCCTTTCTCCTTGCAGCCATACGCTGAAAACGGATGGAAGAACCCTAGTTTGATTGCCATGTTCGTTGTTGGGCCTGTTTTATTGATTGCCTTCACTGCCTACGAGATCTTCTGGGCACCATACCCTTTGATGCCGAGAAGAATCTTGTACAACAAAACCTTCATCACTGCCGTTCTCATCAACTTTATATACTTGTTGGCTGACGGTGTCAGAGCGCAGTACTTGTCCAGTATTGTCTTGGTTGGCAAAAACTGGTCATACCAGAACTGGACGTACTTCAACAACACCTTGACAGTTTCCTTGTGTTTCTTCGGTGTTGTTGCTGGTGTCACCTACAGAATCACCAGAAGATACAAGTGGTTGAACTCCTTGGGCATTTTCCTCAGAATGGTGTCCTACTGCATTCCTCTTACAAAGCAAGGAACCATGGCCAACACAGGCCAGTTTGTCATGAGTCAGATCATCATGGGTATCGGTTCTGCTTATAACACCATCGGAACTGTCATTTCGAGTCAGGCCTCTGTTCCTCATCAGGACATGTCTTTGGTGATGGCTTTGTTGCTTCTCTGGTCTACCGTGGGAAGTGCCATTGGCTACACCATCTCGGGTCAAATCTGGACCAATAAGATGTACAACTACTTGAGGGAGTTCATGCCCCTGAGTGTCACCGATGATGAGGTCTATGAATACTACACCGATCTTTCGTCCTTGCAGGCACTTGAGTGGGATGATCCTGTCAGACAAGGTGCCGTCAAGGCATTGGCTACCATCTGTCCTTACTTCTTTGTTGCACCAATTGTGCTTGAACTCATCAACCTTTTCTTGAGTTTCATGCAAACCGACTACTACTTGGGTGACACTCACAATGCCATTGAGGACCAGGATGGTAAGGATCCTACTGATCCAACGAAGGAGAAGCAGGAGATTCCCACAACGTGGAAGGGCAAGATTCTCTACTTGCTTTCGTAATTTGGCTTTGAGGTTTTATTTGTAATTAATGCAGTAATAAGTTTATGATAAGTGAGGTCCTGGAGACTCGTACGTTGCGCTCGGTTGGTCCTATCGACCCTTCCTAAGTGAAGCTGATCCAGTAGACCGGTTGGATATATTTTGACTAACGTACAATCAAATTGCTCAACCCTTTTTATTTGTGTGACCAATCAACTACAGGAATATGTCCTCAGATAGCCAGTCGCAAGGAGTACAACGTGATAATGTACTTTAACTCCCTACAACCTACTTGAATTTTTCTGAAATCGTGGATATGGGACGCTTTTAGCTCTGTGAGTGACACCAACGTTCGTCAATTAGGAAATCCCGGTAACAAGTTTCGATGTAAATACAAAAGTTCAGCATAATATAAATGCCTTTAAAAGGCCATTCACGCAAAATAGTACTCCATAATAGGGGCTGTGTCAATGCACCTCGTACTAATCTGAGTCCTGATTGACATGAGCGAATTTCGGATATTAGACTTTGCGTCACAAAAACAACAAGTCATGCTTCTGTCAAAATTTCAGGAGCTGCGGCATATAATTTGTAGGTGTATTTGAAGCCTTCCAGTGGACGTGCATGACACCTCCTTCATACAATTGTGCGGCACCGTGTCAAAGTGGCCCTCGCTTATCCTGGAATTGAAGTATAAATATGAGATGCTTTAGCCACTTTATCTCCCAAGAATCATCAGATATCAATCCCTTTGAGCATGTTTATTGAGAACACTGTTTTGGCGCTCAATGGTCTTTCCGTGGCCATTATCCTTTTCAAACTCCCATTGCCCATTGTGAAGATATACCCACAAGATCCAGACTTATCGTGGCTCGAAGTAATCAACCAGCTCATTTTCAAAATCGAGAAGTACGACAAGGGCTCTACAGAGGGAGTGACCAAATACCTTCCTGCAGAATTGCCGGTCGGTGAAGTTACCTACTCCTTTTATCCATGGGGGATGGTTAAGAGTGACCAGAAGTCAAACAAAAAGGTCTCTTTTGAAAGCGATGGCTTTAGGCTTGTTCCGCTCCTTGTCCGTGATGTTATCTCACAAATTCGGAGCTCAACCGAAGTGAAGAGTTCTGAAGGCTGGGAGAATGCCATTCAAAACTCCTTGAAAAGAGCCCAAAGAAGGGTGAGAAATGGTGTTTATTTCGACACAGATGGGCAAGGTGAATCTGAAGCAGAACGAAAAACGGCTTTAGGCTTTTCCAAACTTTACTTCACCCCATCCCTGGAAGCCGCTGCCCATAAGAAGTACCTTTACTTGCTATCCACCATTTCTGCCATTGCACTTAGTTGGCTTGTCTTTGCACAAGTACAATTTGGAGCGCTTTGGGGTATCTTGTGGCTGATTCTGAATGTTTGTTCCACTTTCACCTTTTTCACAATTTTTTTTGACACAGAATGTTTCAATTCCGACTATAACGTCTTGAAGAACAACGACTTTGCGTACAAATTTGGGCCGTTCTTCTGGCTCCAACTCCTTTCATTCGCTGGGGGTTGGTTGGGGATGTACATATCCTTGATCGTCCATGTAAGCATTTGGGTTTAGTTTTATGCTGGACCCATTTAGACCAATGAGGGCGTGCGGACTAATACATATTCTATTAGAGTTTTGACAATGAATCCTCTAAAACTGCCGTAGTGTGACTAGGAAGTTCGCAGGGCCATTCGAGACAAGTGGCTTTCATTGTAGATCCCAGTTCTCCTTATTGATCTAAAACGGATACTTACAGTACCCATATTATTACCACTCCACTGGAGCTCTTGATTTCACAACCCATCTTGAATAAAACCGATAAAATAATGAATATTTCAAAGCCTTTCCTGTAGGCCTGTAAGGGCGCTAGACTGTGCATAATCTCACATAAGCCGAAAGTGCACGTTTAAAGTCTGACAAACGGTGACGTGTTTCAAAACCTAATCTAACATATATCGAGCTAACAGCGTCATTTTAAACCTCCTTACTGACTGTCATTTCCATCAAATTCCTCGCCATCCATCCACTCATTTAACACTTCTCCCAAACGCGGGGCTTTTGGTGCGTAAGACCCTTGAATTATCGGCACACCGTATTTTCCATCTCATGGCTTCCTTCGCATCAACGGATTTCATACGACGAACAAAAAGAAAACCCTTGGCTTGTATCCAATGCCGTCTGAGGAAAGTCCGGTGTGACAAGAAGATCCCTTGCAAAAATTGCCTAGAACGAGGCACGGCTAAAGAATGCAGAAGAGAGGTGGTGCTACTTCGAGGCAATGTCGCCAACAAAGAAGATGAAGAACGGAAAAACATCTCAGAAAAGAGGCTTTTCAACGAGTTCGAGATCGAAAACATCCGCATGTGCGTGGAGAAGCTCACGTTTGGCTTCAACAAGGTGGATAGGTTGTTCAAGTCAGAAAGCCAAAAAGAGGTGAATTGGCCTCAGTTCCACATCGACTTCACGTCCATCATGGCGAGAATCGACCATGCTACGTCCCACTGCTTGTGTTCGTTTGCGAGCAGCTACATCAACTTCATCCACAATGCTGTGGTTCCTGACATGTTCATCGATGAGCACGAGACTTTCTGGAACGAGCATGTGGCAGACGATCCAGCGTGTTTGGTTTATTCCAGACTGAGCAAGTTGCAGACTGAACTGCCGAGAGATTACTACTTCTGGATGGCCCTATACTACGGCACCTTATGCAACGGAATCTACTTTGGCTCTGAGCAGTTGAAGAGTGAGCTCAACTTCAGTGAACACGAATTGAAGACATTGGGGCCGAAGCTCTTTACTGCAGCCTACGACTGCCTCTGTCGAGCGCAATTTATGAGTCACGCTGACGTACAAGCGGTTCAAGTGTTCTGTCTCTTGAGTACATGCTTTCACGCCTACGGTAGTGTGGAGCTCTCGCAATCATTGCTCATTCAATGCATACGAATAGCTCGGAAACTCGGGCTCGACAAGCCCCGAAGAAATTCTGTTTCATTCTCGTCAGAAGTTAAAAAGCGCTTGTGGTACACTCTCTGTCTCAACGACTGGTTGGATCAGATAGAAAAACCACGCTTTTACGTGGAGGTAACTCAACAAGACTTTCCCCATCTCCTTACCGACGAGGAGCTTTCACAAGAAGATCAGGTCCCTCGAGATTTTACAGCAACACGCGAGTACTGTAACATTTTCTACCAGCATATCATGATCAAAATGGCTCTCATTAAAAAGTGCTTATACGAAAATCACTTCTCAGCGCTGGCCACGCTTGATGCTTGGACCAAGATGTGCGATTTAAGAGCAAGTACAATCACATTCTTTTCAGATTGGCCAGAACCAACCAGCGAGAGTCTTCTCACATATGACTATGCGAGGTTTTTGCTTTTCTCATCCCTAACCGAGGAAATGTTGGACCTAGGAAGAAGAGTTTTGGCTATAGTTGGCAAGCAGACATGGCTAGCGAAGTATCGCTCAAAGTGCATTGAAGCCGCCTTGGGTAACATCTCAAGGGCAACAGCCCCAATACCCTCATACTATAGGCGACACTGGATCGTGGTACAGCATCTAATATATGCTGCTCTCACCATTCTTCTTGACATCATCATGTTCCCGGGTATAGATTCGCCTAACGAAATGGGGCACCGGTTGGATCAGGTGGAGTCTGCTTTTGTCGTCTTTGAGGAGCTTGAAGCTACACATTTACCTGCTAAGCTTGGAATCGCTGTATTGCCGAGACTCTGCAAGCTTGTGCGTTTCGTGATTGTGGAAAAACGAGAGGGAAACACGTTCGAAAAAGAGTCTTTGAAGTATTTGCTCGACGACTTGCAAGTCAATGTTTCTCCAGTTATAGACTCTGTTCCGGGTAGAAACAAGCCCCAGTACCTCAGGGCCAGAAATTCACCCCTGTTTCAGGCGAAACCCGGCGAGAGACAGCAGAGTGATTCTGAGAGTACCAGTGACGGGAACTTCCTTGATGATGAGATGCAGAAGCTCTTTTTCGATACGGGTTGGTCGGAGGTCCTCATGAATGTCTTCCAACCAGCTTTCAACCAGCTACAATGACGTACTTAACTTTATTTATCAAGGATATTCACTGCTTCTTAAAAGTATGAATCTCGTGCACTTCACTCACGGTATCTGATGCATCGGACATTTCCAAGGGGGGTGCCTCACCCAAGTTCCTACCAATCTCCTCCAAACTCAAGCCCTTCGTCTCAACCCAGAATAAGATGACTATAATCAAAAAGACCACATCATAGCCTGCGTTAATGACGTAAAACTTCCATCCGACATTGTCCATCGCAATTGGTAAGATGAAGGTTCCCAAAAGCCCCGCAGCACAGTTGCAGAACTTGAAAATAGTGGTTCCAACTGCTCTTGTTTTCATTGGAAAAAGCTCGGAAGGATAAAGACAGTTGAGCGGCGTCACACAAAAGTTATAAAAGCCGTTGAAAAGAAACATCAAGAAAATCGTTGCATACTGGCCTCCTGTGTTGGTGCTCTGACCGTACATCTTGACAAATCCTCCAAGCAAAGCAAAGGTGATGATCATGCCTGTGAGTGATCCAATGGCTTGCTTCCGCCTTCCCAAATAATCAAAGCTGTAAGCACCACATACAGCACATACAAAGTTCCAACACGAACTGATCAAGTTGATCTCCAAGAGTTTCTTTGTTCCAGTGATTCCGGCCTGCCGGAGAATCACGGTAAGGTAGTAGCTTCCAACTGAGGAACCACCCAACTCCGAAATAAGAGCAAGCGAAACGATCATAATCAATCGTTTCTGGTCCGGTCTGGACGGACGAAGTAAAGTTGGCCATGCACCCTTAGTGTCTTGCCTTTCTTCCTCGATCGTCGCCTGTATCTCTTGCACCATGACGTCAGCCTGGTTCTTCGTGAGGTTGTTGCTTATTTCGAGAACCTCTGTGGCGTACTCAAACCTCCCCTTGGCGATCATCCATCTTGGAGATTCAGGAACGAATATGAGAAGAAGGATGGACAATGCACTTGGTATAGCTTGCAAAAGGGAAGGAAGGCGCCAGGCCCAAGTCCCGTGAATATCCTCGGTTCTATAAGTTATTCCAGATGCAATAATAGCCCCTGCGTTGAAGCAGGTAAAGTACATGCCTACCATGAAACCTCTGATCTTCTTTGGAGCCACTTCTGCTACCATAAGAGGAGATGCAGCTCCAGTCAACTGGGTACAAAAACCAAGAACAACTCTTGCGAAAATAAACATTCCCATGTTGTCCGTTGAGGCGGTTTGCAATGCAACACCAACGAAACTGAAAAGAGAAGCTAACAAGATAGTTCTTCTGCGTCCCAAGTGATCGGCCATATATTGCATCAAAACACAAGAAATGATCGATCCCATCCAAACACTGGCGTTCATCAATCCATTTGTGGTAGGATTGAGGTTGAAGTAGTTTGTGAATTGTGGGACGGCGATAAGACTGGACATCATCATTGTATCGTAACCCATCGTTATAGAGTTGATAGCAGCTGCTGCACAGGTCATGGGTAAAAGCACCTTTTGAGACCTAGGCATAAGCCTAGGAAGACGATCAAGGCTGAAGAGTGGAATTCTCTCCATATTTCTGGATGTTTAGTAGGACTCAAGCCGGCCATATTCTACTTATAGGCACTACGTAAAAATGAGGAGACATCTTTGATAAGGGAGATACCTCGACATCATTCATGCTGATTGTGCCTGAGGAGAACCACGGAAAATTTTTCCCGATTCGACGGGGGGACCATTGATATGGAATTTTGCAGCTATACATTAACCGCATTTGTTCGGCCGAGCCAGAGATAAGGTTTCGGCCGAAGGTCATGATAATGCATTGTATAAGTCGGCTTTTCACTAATTGTTTATCGTTTTATAAAAAAGGCCTAGGGGGTTTATCTCTTCCACGATAAAAAAAAATATGGAATTCAAAAAAATTGATATCGAGTCGGTGCTTGACCAATTGACTTTGCACGAAAAAATTAATCTCGTCAGTGGACGTGACTCGTGGCACACTTATGCTGTACATCGCCTTGGAATACCATCGTTGAGGATCTCAGATGGACCCAATGGAGTAAGAGGAACCAAATTCTTCAATTCTGTCGCCACAGCTTGTATTCCCACGGGAACATCGCTCGGTTGTTGCTGGAACACTGATTTGATGTACGACTTGGGCAAAATGATGGGCGAACAGTGCCGTGCTAAGGGTGCACATGTGCTTATGGGGCCCAATATCAACATGGTTCGAAACCCCTTGTGTGGTCGAAGCTTTGAGACTCTTGGAGAAGATCCCATTTTGTCTGGATTGCTAGCTCTGGCTTACTGCCAAGGTGTTCATGATACCAACATCATGATATGTCCAAAGCACATGGTGTGTAATGACAAGGAGGACTACCGGATGACAATGAACGTGCTGATTTCCGAAAGAGCTCTTAGGGAGATCTACTTGATGCCCTTCATGCTCGTGCAAAAGTACGCCAATCCTGAGATGTACATGACAGCCTACAATCGCTTGAATGGATCTCACTGCAATGAAAACCCACACCTCATGAAGGACATTGTCAGGAAAGAATGGGGATTCGAGGGCGCTTTTGTATCTGACTGGTACGGAACCGTCTCGTGTGCTGACAGTATCAATGCTGGTTTGGATCTTGAAATGCCTGGGCCCTCTATTTGGAGAGGTAAGCTTTTGGAGATGTCCATTTTTCACGATACGGTGACGCAAAAGTCCTTGGATGATGCCGTCAGAGGGGTTTTGTACTTGGTTAACAAGGCTGCTGAATCGGGGATTCCAGAAGACGCTTATGAGGGTCTCAAGGACGATGATGCGACCGCCAAGATAGTACTCCAGGCTGCCAGAGAATCCATAGTTTTGATGAAAAACTCAAACGATATTCTTCCCTTGAAAAAGAACAGGAAGGTGTTGGTGATTGGTGAAGCTGCCAAAAAGGCCAACTTTGCTTCAGGCGGATGCACTAATGTCAAGCCATACCGCCAAATCTCGTTGTATGATTCTTTGGTGGAACGTTTCGGAGACTCCAATGTGACCTGGTGCTTGGGTGCTTCTAACAGAAAGCTGCTTCCATCGTTTTCGCTTTTCGCCAAAAGCAAAGAACCTTCACCAATCCAGTATTGCGTTTACGATGACCCAAGGTCTGTTCCTGACCGTAGGCCTATAACCGAGGAGAAGGTGGGTGAAATTGATGCAATGCTTGGTGACTTTGATCCTGCTAAACTCCGGGACATTGACCAGTTGTACGCTAGCTTCCTGGTGGTGATTACCGTACCTGAGTCTGGCTTATACAAAGTCAACTTGAAGGTTTCTGGTCTTGCCAGGGTCTACATTGACGGAAAGTTGAAGATGGTAAATGATCTTGAGCACAAAACAAGTGGGGCTTTTGGCTTGGATGCACCAGAGATCTTGGAAGAGATCCACCTTGAAGCCGGTAAGGATTATCTCTTTGAAGTGGACTTTGAGAGCACAATTGGCAAGTCTTCCTTCATTACCGGTTACGGATGTGTCACTTGCGGTATTGAAAAGGCCATTTCTCCAGAGGAAAGTATTAAAGAGGCAGCCACCTTGGCAAAGAGCTTCGATCAGGTCATCGTAATCACTGGGCTCAACAAGGACTATGAATGTGAGGGTTTCGATCGCAAGAATATGGATCTTCCTCCATACCAAGATAAGCTCATCGAGTCAGTCTTGGCCAGCAATCCTGATACAGTTGTGGTAATTGAAAGTGGTACGCCTGTGACACTTCCTTGGCTGGACAAGTGCAGCACACTCTTGCACTCTGGTTACATTGGAGAGCAGCTTGGAAACGCCCTTGCAGATGTGCTTTACGGAGATTACAATCCTAGTGCCAGGCTTTCTTATACATGGCCTAAAAGATACGAAGATTCTTCCTCTGCAACAAGCTTCACGGTGGACAAGAGATATTCTTTGACATACCTTGACGATATCTACATGGGCTACCGCCACATGGACTATTGCAAGATCAAGCCACTTTTTGCGTTTGGCCATGGACTCTCCTACACCAGTTTCAAGTTCAGTGACCTCAAGCTTGAAGTGAACAATACGACTGTTTCTGTCTGTTTGAATGTTACAAACACCGGCACTACCAATGGCTCCACAATCGTTCAAATCTATGTTGGTCAAAATGACTGTTCAGTGCCGTGCCCCATCAAAAGCATGAAGGGTTTCAAAAATGTTTACTGCAGAGCAGGTGAGGTTGTCAGTGTGAAGGTTGACATCAACAAGAGGATTTCGTGCTCTTACTTTGATACCAGTCTTTCTCAATGGACTTTGGAGAAGGGCACCTACGAAGTAATGGTGGGTTCTTCCAGTGACCTGATTGAGCTTACGAGCAGCTTTGACATTGAAAAAACCACACATTGGCTTTCTCTCAAGGAAGCATGAATTTGATGTCCTCATGGTGTGGGTGAATTTATCACGGTAATAAAAATCAGTCCTGGGGAGATCAAACCCTTGGAGTGAACGAAAGCAATTGGGATGTCCAAAAGAAAATAGCTCTCTACATGCTCTCTATATAACTTTATGTCAACGAAAAAAGTTTTTGAAATTCATAAATGTCCTCTGAGCACTTGATTCCACTTCGCGTTCTCACTTTATCTGTAGATTTTCAGCTGCTTACTAAATTCTACAAATATTCAACCCGAGAAAAAAATCGACTTTGTGACGTAATAGAGATTTATTTTGAGCTAGGGAGTTTCTTCTACGTCAATCTTTTGATTTACACCGTTTTCAACAATTGGGGCGAGTTAAGAGGTAGCTTCCGAAACACCGGTTCAATTACCGCTTTGGGAAGTACGCCCGCATTAGTCTCGCTTATGCACCGTACTTATCAATACATACTTATCAGTACGTACTTAATACGAGACTCACCCTCTGTCATTTAGCTGATATTCTTGAGTATAATTCAGCTTTTAAATTCCCTCATACCTACTTTTTGTCTCAAATTGTGTGGATTAAAGCAAGTAGAACGCCACCCACAATCTACGCAGCCTCGCTAAAACGAAGGATCTCACGTAAGCAGCAGCCACCAAAGGTCTATATAAAGTGGAATTTCAGAATAAAAAAATTTTTTATCAGAATTCTCCCAGCTTTCAGAAATGTTCAACTTAGTCAACATAAAACCATTGATCAATACCAAGGTCTTCGAAGCCATCAAGGTTGGCAAGAACCAGTTGCAAAACAGAGTCGTTTTCGTGCCTTCTACCCGGTACAGGGCTCTTGACGATCACACACCCTCCGATCTTCAACTTCAATATTATGATGACAGATCGAAGGACCCTGGAACCTTGATCATCACCGAAGGTGTGCTTGCAACAGACAAGACCGGAAGCGCCTCCAGAGCCCCTGCTATTATAACCGAGAAGCACGTTCAGGAATGGAAGAAAATCACGGACAAGATTCACGAAAACCAATCCTTTGCGTCTCTCCAGCTTTGGGCTTTGGGCCGTGTTGCTGATGCAGCTTTGAGTAAGAAAGAAGGTCAGCAATTGAAAGGTGTATCTGCGATTTACTCAGACGAAGCTTATGAGAAGAAGGCCAAGGAAGCTGGCAATGAATTAGAGGCTTATACAACTGAAGAACTTGATCAATTAGTTGAAGAGCTTACAGATGCAGCTAAGAGAGCGGTGGATGCTGGTTTTGATTATGTGGAGCTTCATGGTGCTACGGGCTACCTCTTCAATCAGTTCTTTGAAGCATCCTCCAACAAGAGAACTGACAAGTACGGTGGTTCCGTGGAGAACAGGTCACGCTTCACCTTGAATGTTATTGACCGTATTTCAGAGGAGATAGGCGCCGACAAAGTAGCCATTAGGTTCTCACCATGGCTCCAGTTCAACGGTATGAAATCTTCCAAAGACGAAGTTCACCCATTGGTCACCTACGGCTACATATTGAGCGAATTACAGAAAAGGGCTGATGCTGGTAAAGCTCTTGCTTATGTTTCTTTGATTGAGCCCAGAATTCCCGAGATGCTGTTTGGGGAAGACCGGGATGCAAGCAATGATTTTGTTAAGCTTATCTGGAAGGGAACCCTTATCAGAAGTGGCAATTATACCTACGATGTTCCTGAATTCAAAGATCTTTTGAAGGATCTTGAAGATGGACGCACTTTGGCGGGATTTTCCAGATACTTTATTGCCAACCCTGACTTGGTAAATAGATTGCGTGATGGAAAGAGCTTGAACAAGTACGATAGAAGTACTTTTTACACCAACCAAAACTGGGGCTATAACACTTACCCAAATGCGGATGAGGAGGAGAGCTTTGACGAGGAAGCAGAAAGGACTCGTGAAGCTGCCCCAATTGCCAATTAGACCAGTTTGCTGGATTTAGATAGATTGTTTTTGTTAGTTTGTGAGACGGGCAGCTGAAAGCCTATGAGTGATTAGAGAGAATTGATGTACCTTTTTTGAACAATTAGAGCCAGATATCCTAAGTTAAAGCACCCCTTACACATTGATACCCCAAAAATATAAATGTTGCTCTTTTTGCTTGTCGAATAAAACTCGTCAAATGTGACATTTGCGAAATGACGTAGTTGTGCGGCACCGCAACATGCGACCGTTGTTCTGGCACAGCCGTACATGTGGAGATTCAGGTTTCAACGAAGTCACCGCAAATGCAGACCCGAGACAAAATCAGGTGGCTTCAGAATAAGTAGAATTGTAATTGGTCGTTGCATTCTGTAATCCCTATAAATGTTTGCAAAAGCAAGACTGATACGAGTGGATAAGCTTGCTATCTACAGTCCCCGCAACTGAGGCACTTAACCGACCCGATTTTTCAGATCTGGAGTTAATGATACCGAAACTAATTTTCCAAACTTAATTTGCTATAGACGCAAAGGCCATAAAATGATAATACTGCTCTTTTCAATCAATGATTGTATCGTGACTCGAGATGTATTCTCACAAAGCACATTCAATGCGGGCGCAAGATCACAAAAACAGATTTTCAGGCACATGCTATTTAACGGCAAACTTCCATGAGGGAGTGAGATCTGTGTTTTCTGATTCTGAGATACCAAATATGGGATACCACAGATGGCCCAGATGGTCACATTAAATCAAATCTCTTCAGATATCCAAGTACTTAAATGTTGTTCATCAGAATTTCGAGCTAACACGCTGAATATAGGCGTGACCACACCACAAGAAGTAAGCAATTCTGCGTTGACATTGCGTAAATAGCAAGCCCTTGCATTGCACTATATATACTTTCAGACCGGCCCTCGTAATTTTTCGAACAACATTCGCAAAACCACCTACAAGTTTAATCCATATAAGGCAGCATAAGAATGTCCTTATCTCTGAGAATATTGTCATTTTTCTCAAAGTTGCTAGATATTTCAATTCAGAGGTTTAAATATCAAATAGCTTACTCCGTGACTCTCAGCATTATTTATTTAATCTTCACCTACGTCGCGATTCCTATCTTCATATACTTCCTTATTAACCTAGCCCTTCGCGAAGCTAACAAAAAGGATTCGGAAGTCAAGGTGAATGAAGAAGTTGTGACAGCTGAAATTTGAAGAGCAGTTGCAATTGATGGCTACTTGACGTCTCATAAAATGAAACAGCAGTCACCAGTACCAATGCTGGAAAGAAAAAAAAGATGAAGTTGTTCATGAGTCTCGCGCTCAAGCAACTCAAAGGTAATTGCCTGGGAATCACTTGTTCGCAGATCCTTTACAATTGGTTCAAAAGTATTGAACGGTTTTTTCAGGTATAGTTTATTTATAGTAATTACCTACGAAACGCAAAGATTGGAATAGTGTAAGAGTAATGCCCTAGTGTTAGTGAGACACAAAGTAACATGAGTCCTCATAATTTGTTGAGCACACACAAACGTGATGCTTAAGTCAGTGCCTTCTGCTCGTTTGCAACTTCAGCGTTGATTTCCTCGACAGTATTGTTCAACCAATCGTCTGCATTGACTTTAGTGTCAAAGTGCTTGGTACTGACTACCTCCTCTTTGGAATCAATAATTTTAACGCAAATCTGATAGTCCGATTCCCCAAGACAAAGATGCTCATAAGTGTCTGGGCGAGAGTAATCATCCGACCAAGCACGGTACTGTGAGAAAACTTCTGGAGAAGTGATTTCACGCAAACTCATTTGTAGGTTAGAGGGGAGTTGCGTCTCTGTATTTATAGAGTTCGATTTATGATGCTCTGTCGAGGACGCCATTTTGTGTACCGTTAAAGCATAGCCCTGAATGTATACCTGCTAAAACTGTTATAAGTTTAGACCTTTTGATAACCTCAATCGATTAGTAGCACCTCAATACAGGCGTCAACTAACCCATCAGCTTTTAGTCCTATCATTTCTACTTGAAAAGTTGGCTGATACACTCCAATATAGAATAAGCGGGCCTTAGATGAGATTTTGGTGCTTTGCAACTTCTGTTTCTCGAATGAATTTGGGCATACTCCTATGCAAGGCGCAGTAGTTGACGTATTCCTGTGCAGTATTGCACTTCGGGGCGCATGGGGCGTTTGACACATGCCTTACTCCCTAAGTCTGGTGAAAGACCCTACAGGTTATTAATTCAAGTTGGTGAGAATTTGAATCAATTTTTGAAGTCGACAGAGTTGATTATCTCACATCAAATCTGAGGTTATTCTTATGCTAACGGAAGAATGTAAGAGAGGCTTTTTTTGCATCTTACAGAACAATAGGCTCGCCTGCGATTAAGCGAAACACGGTTTCACGCAGGGTAGATATTCGAACTTACGCCTCAGGAGACTGCGTAAATGGCTCCAAAGAATACAGTTTTCTTAACTTGTCGAATTTGGCAGTCTTATTGGTGCCAACTCTAACATAAAGGAGCAATCGTATTCAGTGAAATCTGATTGCTTAAACCTTTGCTTCTCCTTTCAACGGGGCAAGTTAAGGATTCCATAACAAGGAAGACATCTCATTAAGTAACAAACAAAATACCCAAGACCATCAGGAGAAGGGCGTATTACATATTGAACTTGGTAAAGCCAGTGGGGGCAGAGATCTTCCACCTTGCTTGGTCACGACCACAAGTCCAAACCTCAATAGCAATAGCATAACTTTTTGTAAGAATTTGCAGAGCGACAAATGTCATGGTTGAATCACCACAAGGAAATGTAAACAAGTCACACTCATAGAATGTGAAGTTGCCGAAATTCATTTTGGTCAAGGTGAACAATTGTCAATGCCGTTTAAATCGGGGGTTTGTAAGTCAAAGAAGCGTCAGTGCTAGTCATGCTCTTCACATTCTCAGTTAGCCAAGTATGCATGGGGCGTTTGTGAGGAGCAGTGCGGAAATTTCTTGATGCTTTTCAACCCATGAACACACTTAGTCTTCTTAGGGCCCACAAAGCACGAGACACTTTGACGAGTCTGGGCAAGAACACTGGCTTACTATAGATACCAAAGTAGTCTATACCCTGCTTTACGGAAGTATTATTGCATTACACCACCATAATGTAATTCTGCAATATGCGAAATATCAGAAATTCGGAAAATGGAAAATAACAAATCTTAAACCTGAGCCATACAGAATAGAATTAGTTTAAAGAGCAACCTGAAAATGAGAGTCTGGGTCGATTGCACAATCTAAGTATTGAAAGTCGATCAGATTAGACTCTACTCGGATGAAGCGGAAGTACGTTGGATTAAATCCAGGAATGCGCTTCTATCAGCCGTTTTAGAGAGGAAGACGGAATGAGAAGGGGATCTCGGAATGTTATCTAGTGAGGCATGACAGGATATGATAGAGGCCAAACCTTACCTTATCTATTTCGAAGATCAGGGGTGAAAGCAAAAACTATGGCGCAGTGCAATAAATATAATATCGGCCTATTCCAAAGACTCATTATCCATTTAAATCCGACTAGTTACTCCATGATTGAGGACGATTTTTCCCTACTGTGATTACTTTTGTGTTGAGGGAATGAGCGAAGCTACGAGATACCTTAGATTTGTACCTTATAGTCAATTTAGCCGGGCGTATCGCATAGATAAGTCGGGATGCATTATCGCCAGATGGAATCTCATGCATAAATAAGATCAGCGGTTCTCTTCCTCTTAACCAAGGATGGCTACCCCAAAGCTCAATCAAATTTCGGACAATTCAACAGACGAAGAAACACAACATGTCAAGACTTACAAATCTCCAGTCGATGGCAAGCCCATCAATATAGTTGTATCAAGTGCCGAGCTTGATCCTTATATGCTTCACGATGATTCTTTAGATTTGGATGAAAAGACTGACAGAAGATTGCTCTGGAAAATTGACGCCTTCGTTTTGCCCCTTGTGTGTATCTTATATTGCGTCCAGTTCATGGACAAACTTTCGAACTCATACGCTTCAATTATGGGATTGAGACAAGACTTGAATATGAAAGGCAATCAATACTCTTGGACTGGTACAGCCTTCTACCTCGGATATCTCGCTTTTGAGTTCCCTTGCGCATATGCTTTGCAACGTTTCCCGGTTGTTACCACCGTGTCGGTCTTTATTGTGATCTGGGGTGTGATTTTATGCTTGCACTCTGTGACAAATTATGCTGGCTTTATTGCTTTGAGAACTCTTCTTGGAGCTCTTGAATCGTCCGTGACACCTGCTTTCGTTATAGTCACCGCTAAATGGTACAAGAAAGAAGAGGTGTTTTTGAGAACCTCTATCTGGTTTTCCTTCAACGGTATGGGCCAGATCATTGGGTCTGGTGCAATTGCGTACAACCTTTTCCAGAATATGGAGAGCTATAGTATCGAGGCTTGGAAGTTGATTTTCATCATCACCGGAGTTATCACGATTGCATTGGGTATCGCCATATTTCTCCACATCCCCAATAAACCAACAGAAGCATGGTTTCTCAATGAAACTGATAAGAGGAACGTTGTTGAGCGAATTAGAGCCAATCAACAAGGTTTTGGAAACAAGCATTTCAAAAAATACCAGCTTATCGAGGCATTGACTGACATCAAAATATGGCTTTTCAGTCTTATGATTCTCTCAGCCAACATACCAAACGGAGGGTTAACCAATTTTGGGTCCATTTTGCTAAATGAATCTTTTGGATACGGCGTTGGTAAGTCCTTGAAGATGCAAATGATTCCTGGAGCAGTCCAGCTTGTTGGATGTATCGGGTTCGCTTATATGTATCGTTTCTTTCCCAAGAGGTTTTTTTGGGCAAGCTCCTCAAACGGCGTTGCCATACTTGGTGTATGTTTATTAGCATTTGCTGGCCCCAAAGAAGCACAATTTGCGGGGTTCGTTCTCTGTAATTTCATTTCTCTTGTTATGATCTGTGGTCTCTCATCATTTGCGTCTAATGTGGCAGGTCACACGAAAAAGGTAGTTGGAAATGCAATTTTCTTAATTGCCTACTGCGTTGGAAATTTAATCGGTCCACAGACATTTAGACAAAGTGACGCCCCCGACTACAATGGCGCAAAAATTGCAATGGTTGTATGTTCAATTGCGAGCTTTGTACTTCTATTAGCAATTTGGGCACTTATGCTTATTGAGAATAGGAGACGGGATAAGGCAAATGATCAGGAGGAGTTCGCACGGATAGAGAATCACGAGTTTGCTGATTTGACCGATAAAGAGAACCCTTTATTTAGATACACTATATAGAATAAGGGCCCAAAACACAATAATCATGAATTTTTTAATTTCAAGTTTTGAAGTTTTGTCAATTTTAGAAATGCGAATGTGTGAAAGTCATTTTGTATACGCAGCGCCAAACTAGGTGTGGAGCGCAAATAGTTATTTTCAGGAATAAAAAATGTAAGTCCTGATTCCGGGACATTTATAATAAAACCCTTTTGCCCGCGTCCTAGAAGTGGTGTTATGGTTTAGGAAGAGATTTAAGAGAATCCCTTCGATCTTGAGTCAGATGTGTAGTCAGGTATCCCTATTTAGTTTATGTAATCAACCTGAGCAATTGATCTGGTGGCGATTCAGGAAGTACCATGGCTTGTTGTAAAGCATGATTTCTCTCATTCTAGCAAATAAGATAGCGTCAGTCAGTTCTTTCTCTTCACCGAGGCAGCAACTATAAGCGCCTTACCTTATGCTTGAGGAACGCCTTACCCTATGTGGTTGCGGCCCTTGAAAAAAACCCAGATATAAATAAGGCATGCGACCTTCGTCGACGGCAATGACAATTAATACTAAATTCACGAAGCTTGTGGAAACAGTTTGGGAGGAGAGGTGTTTTACTCCGCTTCTTTATGTGTGTATCGACTATATATACTGCGGTGCTAGTGGCGACGGATTGATAACATCATTTCACAAATACAACATAGAGAAAGCTGAGCGTAAGCGTCTTGAATCTAGCGAAAGAAACACTAAGTTTGAATAGTTATTACACTCAATAAAAATTGTAAGTAAGTACCAATGTAGATGATTTAGGACGACGAGTTCTGGGTTTTTTCTTAGGGATGTCGCGAGCAAAGCGTAGCTTTGCGAGCAGTGGCAAACAACGATTCTTTTATTAAGACTGCAAAAAAAGACTGATTATCCTACTTCGGTGGTGTCTTCAGTGAACGCCGAATTCGATCAACAAAGATCTCCTCAGTAGGCAACAAATCAAGTTTCTTTGTCCAACACTGGAAAAGAAAATTCTTTTTCAACCGGAGAAATTTCTACATCTAAATACTTGGTGCAAGAAGTTTCACATGCCTTTGGGAAAGTCCGCGTCGGCGGACAAGTGAGTAGTGAGCTCGCCGATGCTGATTAGTCAGATCGTGGACCCCGCCAATGAACGTTTATGACGCAACCTGATCGTTATGTGCGACGCTCGCTTAACGATGCGGCTGCTGGCCGCCATGCCTGATTGACACTGTGCATGTTGGCCGTTCGGCTTGTGAAAACCTCGCATTGCATGACATTGAGGGGAGTTATCTGTAGGCTGTGCATTATCTAGTCTTGGCAAAAGCCGACCCATTGGCTACCACTTCATCCGAAGCCGGCTAACCAATTTTCTTGCCATCTTGTGAAAGTCGTAATGCAGCAAATACAGCCACTGGTACTCGAGGATGCGTTCATCCGAGAACGGAGTAATCCAGCATGTCAGTCCAACTCTTAACCAGCCCTTCAGAAGCCAGGCTGAAGGGGGAGGTCTGTCGTACGGGTGAACGGCTTGGCGAAGCAAGCCTAAGTCTCGTCTGGCGGCGAAACCTCGTACGCCCTCGTCTAGTCCGTTTGGCTTTTCGTTTTCCGAGGAATCGAAGGCATTGGTCTCTTCGATAATCGAGGAGCTCGCGGTAGCGGGCCTCCTCTTGGGTATCCGGACTAAAAGATGTAAAAATGTGGGAGCTTGGACCATCAAAGTGTGTTCGTAGTACTTTCTTCTGAAATTTTCCTGTGTAATCAAGTACATTTTTGTTTCGACTTTTGGAGTACTGGATATGCACTCGCAGGTGTCGAGGATAACTACCCCACGTAGTTAGCCCCGAGTCGTTTATGGTCATTTCAATCAGTCGTCTTAGATTCCTAGCATAAGCGCTTTCCCAGGTAGGATTGTATTTGACTTTAAGACGGAATATCTTGATCTCGTCATCCAGTAACGCCGGCGTTCTTTCAGGATGATTTGGAGGAAGGAGGATGAGTCCGAGGTTGGAGGGATCCACTTCTTCCGAGCCCTCCGGGATTGTAGGGGCTCGCTGGACGGATGGGTTGATTTGGTGAGCCGGGTGTGTCCTGTCTGGTCCTGGGGACGAAGATATTCTGTTGATGGAAATGGCTTTTTTTAGGGATGTCTGGGTTTAAGTCTGGGTTTTTTCTTAGGGATGTCTGGGTTTTTTAGGGATGTCTGGGTTTTTTCTTAGGGATGTCTTAGGGATGTCTGGGTTTTTTTAGGGGTCTGGGTTTTTTTCTTAGGGTTTTTTCTTAGGGATGTCTGGGTTTTTTCTTAGGGATGTCTGGGTTTTTT